AACACTGTATATATATATATATATATATATATATAATTTATAGGCCTATTATATATTTTTATGTTTATATATATGCCTTGTGCAGTTTGAATACTTTAGGATCTTTACAACATGTAGGATTTTTTTTACAACAGTAAACTTAAAGTTAAACTGTAAATACTATGAAAAAAACTGTGGTAAATCATGAGGACAAGCAGAATCAATTGCACTGCACCCATTGATTCACTTGCTGTTTTTTAGGCAACACAATACTGATAATGACTAATCTAAATGATTTCTCAGTCCTGAGAGTCTCTTTATACTCAGACTCAGTGTCACAAATTCACCAGTCAGCGTTCTGCTGGTGCATGCTGGGCAGAATCACATGACAGCTTCGCAGGGTGCATGTGTCGGGGTGGCAGGGTCTCTGTCAGGAAGTGGGAGACTGCAGAGATGGCAGCAGGGGTCCACCAGTCTAATTAACTGCTAATGCTTTCATTCCGCTGACCTACACAGGATTAGGCCCTGTCATTAGCTACAGACACACACCCACATTTCCCTATACTTGCCATTTGTTGGGCTAAAATGGATCTTGTCGTCTCCAGCTGAGTTGTCTAACACGTGTTTGAATGCAGGAAACGGGAAAGGTAAAGAAAAGCACAAATAGCCACAACAAATCTGAGCAAGCCTCTCCACTCTTCACATTCCCTTCCTCTTTTATTCCTTTAGTCTCCTGCTGTCTTTCAGTCTCAGATCCTTTTCCTCCGTATCCTCAGGGCATTCATTTCTTCTTTAATCTTGGGAGGAGACGTTATCCGAAGCACATCTCACTGCAGGGCTGTCTCGTTCGCTGCCGTTCCTACCATTCAACAAAGAGGGCCGGCGCGGTGCGAGAACTGGCTCCATCATGGCATCGTTAAAACATGCAGCCGAAGCAAAGATAAATTAATCTTATAGTGTCCAGCTATTGATTCTTCACTATGTTGTTCATTGCCTAATTGATCTCTGCGGCTCTGTAGACTACTAAATGTGCTTTTTAGCTAATATCTGTATCTTTGAAACCTTCAGGCCATCAACAGGAGTCCTGCAGATTCAGTTAAGTTCAGTCTGTCAATAAAAGCTGGTTCCAGACGCATCTCTGAGGAATAACAGTAGTGATTTTTTCCAAGATTTTAAACTTCACTTGCAATGCACCATATGGCAGGACTAATCAAACTGATAAATGTCTATTAGATGTTACGTGGCCTTGCATTAAAAATACTGTATTAAGTTTGAGCTTACAGATGGTAAAATATGAGACTCGATTTTTTACAAGATGATTGTTTTAGAAAGAGTAAACAATTAGTAGTAGCGATGCACAATAAATCAGATGCACAAGTGGTTATCAGTTGATATTAGTGATTTTTAGTGATTTCTTTAACCTCAAAATGAATATCAGTTTTTCATACTGTTCATTGTAATGTTGTGATGCCTAATTTTACTCTAAATTTAAATTTAAAATTATTTTATTTTTATAATGTTTTAATTTTTATTTAGACAAAATATTATAGAATTTTCATATCAGCCATTACATGAAAATAATTATGGTCTTATCTGTATCACAGCATCCCTAATTAGTAGGCTTTGTGCTAAAAGTTTCATTGTTGTGATGTGTTAAGCTGTGTTTTTGTGTCCAGGGGAAAGACATGACCTTTTTGTTCTTACCAGTGAGACCTAACATCTAGTTCACCCTCTGGCCCTGTTAAAGGTCACCAAACTTCAGGTCCTCCCAGACTACATATGCCATATAAAACCACAGACTACAAGTTCTCAATAATTAGGACACATGCTTCATCTCTGAACACATGCACAGCAAGGTATAAAAACTTACGATAATGAGGAATATGAAGTAGATGAAGTTGTAGAAGGAATGAGCATCCATGACGTAGTACATGATCTCCACCCAACCCTCCAGCGTGATCACCTGCACAGACCAGATCAGACCACATTCAAGCTCTTTATACACCTGGTAAAGATCCATCTCAGATGATCCATCACAAGTCGTCAGTTGAGACAAATGCTGTTTATGTAACGTGTCTGCTATTTGTGATTGGATTTTGAGGGTAGAGTCTCTGATTTTGTGACTATATACAAAATGTATATTTGTATAAGATTTAGAGGCATTAAGAGAACAACAACATCACTCATTAAAACCTCACTTTTGTTAGATTCTTCAGCAATTCAGCAATGTAGCTAGTGTACTAATCTAGCTCATACTTAAACTTGGCATTGTGTACTGCAAATAATGTGAAGTTGCTTTGGATAAACACTTTGCTATATAAATAAATGTAAATTCTTAAAACTACTTGCCAATGGGTAAGAAAAATTCGAATGAATTAAAAGTGAAAACAAGCAGATTTTTCTTACCTCATTTGTAAATATAATTTCTTTAAACCTTTGTTTTACCACAGTGGATGATTGAGAGGTGTGTAGGCGGCCCTTCACTGTTGTCCAAGACGCATCAGGACAGATTAGCATTTGCAGCACACTACACATGCAATGTTATCACATGCGTTTTCAACTTCCTCTGAATGTAGTTTGAATCATTGGATCACAAAATGCTTTAGATCGCATTTACACCTGTAGCAAGTGCTGTCGATTTATGAGAGGATCACCTGAAACAGAATCAGATGCGTAATTTCACCAAATACCACTTGACTCGATCGCATACCTGAAATATGACGATCCATGCGTAACCTATGTTGTCAAAGTTGATCGCTCCTTTATGTGGGTTGGTGTGTCCTGTGTGACAGCGGGTGTAGTACTGGTTCCAGTTCACACAGAGCCCCATGGTGGAGGCACTGCCATTGACCAGCGGCTCCGCGCTCAGGCCCAGGGCCTGACGGTGCAATGCATCCTCTTTATCTAGACAGCACTCCCGTCCACCTTCTCTCCGAGCGGGCACATCGCTGCAGGACATGATGCCGTTATCCTGAGCCAGAGAGCAGATGAAGGGCCGCTCGTCATCCTCCTCAGGCTGATAATATGGGGTGGGGAGGGTGATGCCAGATGTGCTGAGGACAAGACATAAGGAGAAGTCAAGGTTTTTGAAAATTCAGTGTTTAAAAAAGAAAAAGAAAATTCTTCTATCATCTCTCTCTCCCTCTCTCTCTCTATTCATCCATCCATAATCTCTGCCAGCTGTCAAATTTCTACTATTTCTACTTATATATTTTTTAGGGAAAAATATATACTTTTTTCTAAGTATATATTATATTTTACACATATACATTCTATATATCTATATTCTATATATATATATATATATCTCACACACTCCCAGAATTAAGTAGATTTTTCTTATACTACTGGCAGTTTTTTTTCTAGTAAAACATATTAACAAAATGTTGAGAGGTTATAAGAAAAAAAACAACTATAAAAATATATAAATCTAAGAAAAAAAACAATTAAATGTAATACTCAGATATTTTATTTTCAATGGCAGAACTTGAATGATTTTGCATCTATGGATCTCAACAGGTGGGTTGCCATAATTAAAGTGTTCTTGCAGTATAGCTGAAATATCTCTAGGCAGACCTGAAGAGATCTGAGCAGCAACCAGTGTGGATTCTATAACAGACCAACTGAGAGTGTGTAGTGTGTGCGTACATGTGTGTGAAGCCCATGTCTCTGGGAGTGACCCATTGAGGGCAGCCTGCCCCTTAATCACAGTGTTTTACTGCCCAGAAATAGCTGTTTCCATCAGCCACTCACCCTCTCATACACGTAACAGGGTCACAATGAATATTTACACTCCCTTTCCCCCAATCTCTCTCTCCTTTTTTCTCTCTTTTCCCATTTCTCTCACACATCCATGTATATGCACCAATGTGCAATGCCATTTGTCCACCTAGCACACACAAGCATAGCACATGCAAGCCACAATGACCAATCAATATCTCTATTGCTTTGCGGTCTAGACAGTTAATCTGCACACACACACACAGCTCCCATGACAGTCATGTTGGAGGTATTGGGCTCCAAGAAAGATTGGTTCATCATCCCCAGGGTGTAATTCTCCCCATTTGGATGGAGGACTCCTCCGCAGACTTGCAGATCAATAAAGGCCAAGAATGTTTCTGTCGCGGAGGACGTTTTTCCTTTGCCCTTCAACAACACGCCAGCCAAAAGATCTGAACCATTCGATACCAGTAATGAGCAATGGTATATCAGGCTACACCAGAAAAAGCAATTTGTCTAGGTAGACCACCGTGGTGACACTCGTGCGAGGATATGCGTGTGCACATTTCCATCGCACAAAACTAATCAATGCCTGTGATATGGCAAATTGAGCCAATGCGTCAAACCATCGTAGATTCCCATGTGGGCTTTGTGTGGCACATTCTGAGATCTCTCCTATAAAAGTCAGTCTGCATTTTCAGCACGACAGTCGAACTGGACCACTTTTTTTTTGGCACCGCTTTTCTTTAAGAGCTCAGTGGTATGATGACAACTGGGGGGCGGGGGGGAAGAGAAAGACAGAGAGGCAGAGAATCAGTAAGTCTGTCAGAGCTCTGCAAGGAGTGCTGGAGTGTGAATGATGTTTGTGCCAGTGCCAGGGCTCGGGCACAGCGTGGCAGCGCACTGAGAAGCACAGCCCAGTGTGGCACACTGCTAACACCCCACTGTGGCACAAAATGGCATTCCAATGCCAATAAGACTGCTCTCGCACAAAAACGAGCCCCGAGGAGAAGTTTGACCTTGAAAGTCGACTTTTTAAAGGAATTTCTTTCATTTCAAGTCCAACCTCAGATGCTGTGAAAATGAAATAGTTAACATCAACAGTCTTAAAGAGTGTTAAAAATTGAAATGACAATTCTGCAATTATTGCAAACAATTCATCAATTTTTTATTTTTTCCCAATAATTTATTTTGCTTATTCTCCATGCCTCCAATCGACTGCAAGCTCTCATTCATTTTTGAATGCAACGTCCACATCTTTAAATTAATAACCAATGAATAGAACCGAATCTTGCTTAAATTTTCTCTTCTTGATTAAATGCTGCACTCAGATGTACGTCACAATACAGATCTGTAAATCTGTCCCTACTTTCATCGCCACTTTAAAGGTACTCTGAGAAGTACCCTTTTTACACGTTTCATCAGTTATTTTTTCATCAAAGCAAATTTAATTTGTGAAAAATCTGAATATTGCAAAAACAGCGTTTGTATGTGTCTAAGAGAACAAACGCGTCACTTTCGGGGGAAAATTGGAGCAAAGCAGAAACTGAAATGCAATAAATGTAATAAATTAAGATATAGAGCGTGCAGACAAAGTGTTCTTACAAACTTCATGTTTCTGGATTCTTGCAACTGCCTTATCTGTGGGAGCAACAGCGCATCAGACAGTTCTCTGAGGTAACAGTATTCATCTAAGCAAATTATTTAGTCACATGACTTTTTCAGGCATAAAAAGTCATATCAGTTTTTGATGCACATTCTGTTTTCTTACGGAACACTATAACATATCCACCTCAAGCGAGCATATGTAGAAGCACATTTTGGTCTTTCAGTTTATAATTTTCTATGTATTATTCAATCAGAAGCCAATCAGAAACTGCTAGTGAATCACTTCGGGTTTACTAAAATGGTGGATGGTTAAAGATAGCAAAATGGCTAAAGTTAGCTAAATGGTTAAATTGCTTATAGCAGCTTTAAAGATTTTTCTTTGATATACTACTATGTAAAACTTTGAAGCAATACATTATGACAGTACTAAAGTTTCGATGTTCGGAGAGTGCTTGAGCAGCTAACTGTTGCTGTGGTTACATTGTTATGGTTAAGCAACCTTTGAAGCCAGTGAAAATACGTGTTCCGACTAACTTGTGATCTAACATTTGCACAGTTACTTAAATGTCTGCAAAAGCGAAAGAAATTTCTCATATAAGAGATGCCTTATATGATACGCTACACTAAAACTGTGTAGTATTTGTTCTTTCAAACCCCATAAAAACATTTTGTTTTAAGTAATTCATCCCCCACCAAAAGGACAGGAGAGTGTACATTTTAAAAAGACTGTAAGAGAATGTACAAAGCAGAAGAAAACCAGGCGCTCTCTCAAGAGACACTATGAGAGACTCTCCTTTCAAAACACTTCATCATCCTCTGACTACAGCCTGTAAATATACTCGCTGCTAGACAATAAACGACAATCAGACCTCAGCTGACGTTTAAACTCAGACATGCGCTTCTTTATCCCACACACACGCGTACAAACAAACGCACGGGGTGTCTCGCACACTGCCATGCACCGTGAGTCCTTTCAAATCCAATCACACAGCAAAGAGAGGCAGGCAGACCACGGTTGGCACGGTAACCTCAGGCAGACACCCACTCATGAATATGGATGCCAATCTGAGTTTTAATCAACTGGAGCCATCGAATGGGTGGTACCACTTTTGCATTTTTAGTGGCAGGTAGACAGTAAAAATGAAGATGAGAGGAGAGATTAAACAGAAGGATACATGTGAGAAGATGAGTGAAAGTAAGTAAGTGAGAATATACGACAAAGATAACATGGAACTGAACAAATCATTTGTTTATTAGCCCCCAAGGTCCATGTGATCCCAAAACATCCATTGATCACATCAAGTATCCCTTCTTCGAGAGAAAGGACATTTGAAATACAAGTCCAATCCAATGATGGAGTGCTCAGGCACTCTGAAATGCATATTCAAGAAGATCCGGCCTCCTAAATTCAATCTTTTTATCCTTGTAAACCTAAACTGTCATCCAAATAAACCCACAATTTGGATCCGGTGTTTTTTTCCTCAATTAAATCACCTTTGAAAATATTCAATACATTCAGTCTTTTCTCTCTCTCACTCCCTTAAGCCCACTGGCTGTCCTCTTTTGGTACTCACAGGGTGAAGTTCTTCTCTGGGTAACAGCGATTTCTTAATAGTCCAGCCCATAGCTGCACGCCAATTATGCCAAAAATGAAGAAGACAAAGAAACAGAGCAGAAGCACATTTCCCAGCATGGGCAGAGTGTCCAGCAGCAGGTTCACCAGGATACGCATACCTACACAAACGCAAGAACACAGAAAAACTATTATTATTATAATAAAGAATGACGTGCACTGAGATATTCATTATTCAAGAAAAAGTTTGTCATATCCTTTCATAAAATGTAATAACTTTTTTCCACCTCTGACACAACTTAATATTTTTATTAAGCAAAACTTCCTTTCATTTCAATCTCAATGCATACAATCAATGTAATTCTCACTGATTAGTCATAAACTTAAGTTAAACATAGCCATTCTTAGGTTGTTTTTAGGTCATCCAGTCATTTATTCTTCATTTTATTTGTACATAGCAATTTGTGTCACTGTGACCGTCTCCCAGTGGCAACTCTTGAGAGCCTGTCATCATAAAACTTGTGTGTTTACTTCCACACCAGTTGGATTGTTTGTGAGTGAGAGTGTTTGTGTTAGTGAAGCACTGCTGGGTTTGAATGAAGGTTGTGTGTCCGTTCTGATTGGAGAACAGCAGCATGTGATTACTGCAGTGTTTGTGGTTTGGGAAAATACAACGGGGAACTAACACAACGCTGATGGAACACATTAACACACTGAGTCATGTGTGGTAACACACAAATATTAAAAACGTCATGTGGACAGGTGAAGCGACTGGTGCTGTGAATATCTGGACCTCTGGAATGAATGCAGAGTTGTGTCTTGGGCAATTTACAGAGAAATTAAAGGAATCTCAAGAGAGAAGAGAATGATTTAAAACATCTGACACAAAGGTCAAATGAGATCTTAGTTTCCAAGTGGGATGTTCTTTTTTTCTAGATCTCACAGCATAATTTTCCATGTCTTTATCAAGACAGAAACCTCTCTCTCTATCTCTTTATCGTTCTTTCTCAATTTGACAAAGTTCCCCAAATGTGAAAATTCGGCCATTATTTACCTAATTTATTAAAATTGTAACTGATTTTTTTTCTTTTATGGACAGCCTTTCAGTGAGGTCATTTATCAATGTGCCCACATGTTTCGACCAATGAATTTCAGTGTCTTTTTCTGGCCATTAATGATTACTTCATAAAGATTTTGAGACTGCTTGAGACTGAACTCGCAAAGAACAATTTCTTGGCAATTAAATATTTTCATATTATTTTAACAATATTTTCATAAATATGAAAAGGCACATTGCTGTTCAAAAGTTTGGGCTCAGTATTTAATTATTTATTTATTTATTTATTTTAAATGGTCACATTTATTTGATCAGTAATATCATGACATACTTAATTTAAAATACATTTTATTTTATTAATATTATCAGGGTATCAGCTAAATATTTTCTGTCAAAACTGTGATTCTTTTTTTGTTCAGGATTCTTTGATGAATAGAAAGATTTAAAAAATGAAATAGGAACTAATCTGAAATTGGAACTTTTGAACTGTAGTGTATAATCACTTTAGAAATTTCCATGATTTTCTTGGCACTGGATTTTTACAATTCCCTGAAATTTCCAGGTTTTTGGTAACCATGGGAACCATGTAACATGTCTACAGTGCTCTTTTCCAACAAAAGCAGATGGTGATTTTGCAAACATTTAGCTAAATATCCATTTGCCTATTCCACAGAAGGAGAAAAAAACTACAGGTCTGGAATGACATGAGAATGAGTAAATGATGACTGCATGTTTATTTTTAGTGAACTATCCCTTTAATAAAATCTTGCATAAAACCTTGCTACAATTTGACATGCTACATACACAGTTAACTGGATGTTAATTTGATTCTGTAGGCCTAAATGTATGAGGGAGAGAGTGTAACAGTGTGTATGCATTGGGTTTGTGTGCGTCTTCGAAATCAGTAACACACAAAGACCCTCTGAAACCCTCTGTTTGAAATCTCTTCATCAAGACTTCGAGCAGTGAAATCAAATGCGAGCTAATTCAGTTAGCATTCATATTTCATGCGCTACACCATTGCCATGGGCACTGAAATATTGATAAATCCTGGGCTTCTTATAGAAGTTCGAAGAAAGGCCACAATGTTTGGGAGGGGTGTGAACGTGAGACAGAGGAATATGAATTATGGCGTTTGTTCAAGGACAACTGTTTTTCTACCCAATTACAGGAGGGATTAATCTGGCTCTGCTAATGGTGGTGGCAGAAAAGTAATGGCTCTGAAATCCTCTTTGATTCATTCCAGCTTTGCTGTTCTGGAAGACCTGCACACCAAATACAAAGCTACACATGCACACTACCGTGGGTTTGATAGGGCAGGGCTTGGAGCCGACACATGAGGGTGCTTTTGAGGCTTGGCATTAACACAACCAGAAAAATCCACTCACAATGAATCAGCATGTATAACACCTGAGGTTTGCAGATCACAGATTTTTTTTGGGAAAATGTGTGTGTGTGTGTTTACTCACTGGGTACTCTGTTGATGGCTTTGAGAGGTCTGAGTACACGCACTGTTCTGATGGCGGAGAAGTTGACGTTCTGGAGATCAAGGGAGTATTCAACAATCCTGAGAAGAAGAAACAAACAGAGAAAATTAGTGTCACAGTCACTGGGTATAGACAAACTCTGAGTGTTGTTTCTGTAGTCGAGACCAGCTCATTAAAGCAGAGACAAGACAGAGAGCAGAAGAGAGCAGAGTTCGAGTCAAGACTGAGTCCACATGTTCTCGAGTCCATAAGACCAAGACCATTAAATGTAGTCTTGGACTCGGACTCGACTCAAACGTGACCCTCTTCTGAACTTGGTCTTGACTCTGCTTTAAATGAGCAGATCTCGACAACACCACTGGTTTCTGCCACTTATTTCATTACTTACAGTGGGTCATAGTCTATAATTTTGTGGTATTTTATTTTTGTGCTAGGCATTTCTTATACCAAAAACATTCTAATCATGACCATTTCTATCCTCTTTTTAACTACCTTGTAGTTAATTGCTTAATCCAGTCAAAGGTGGTTTGTCGGTCTCTCCCTTCCCACCTAATGCTGGTGTGATGTATCCCAATCAATATCTCACTGTGTATTTGCATTTAGGTCAGAGAAGAACTGGTCCCCCGACTGAGCCTGGTTTCTGAGTCAAATTTGTTCTTAATTCATGAATTTTGCAGCATCGACAGTTATTGAACTGAACTGACTGGAGCTGAATAATGACATTAATGTTTTGTTATAGCAGAATTTGTTTAATTTTGTTAAGTTTGCATCATTGATCGTTACTTTCCTGTTCATTACTGTGAAGCTAGTTTGAAGCAAAATTGTATTTAGTTTGAAAAAAAAAAAATGTTATCTCATACATTTTTAAATTGTATTTTAAATTTTTTCAACATAAATCCAAAACTGCATATAAAATTGTGGGTGAAACAAATACTTTTATTCAACAAGGATGCATTAAATTAATCAAAAGTGACAGTAACATTTGTAACATTTAGAACAGGGGTCTCCAGACTCTGTGTCCTGCAGAGTTCAGCTCCAACCCAAATCAAACACACCTGAACCAGCTGATCAAGGTCTTACTAGGCAAGGCAAGGCAAGGCAAGTTTATTTATATAGCACATTTCATACACAATGGTAATTCAAAGTGCTTTACATAAAAGAAAAGAAAAAAATAATCACAACAATAAAACACTGAGAGCTGCTATCAGTTGTTTTTGGTTCACCTACAGCAGATGGAGGGTTTGGGCCCTGGCGTTGTGGCAGTGGCCGGAGAGCTCTCACAGGAGGAGGAAGACGAGCTGGGCCCACAGGCTTTGGTGGTTGTGGTGCCCGCCGTTTTTTAGTTGATATCTGGGGCTTGCAGCAAAAGAGTGGGAGAGTCTGGTCCCAGCATAAACCAGTTCCTCCATTTTCTGTGAGAAGCTTAGAAGTGGAGATGCTGGAGAGAGAGATAATGTGTCTGGTGAGCGGGGCTCTGGCTCTGGTGTTTCTGGTGGCTGTGATATGTTGTCCTGGATTCCCTGGCTGTTTTCCAGAAAGTCATCCTTGGGTGCTGAGTCTTGGAGCTGTTCTGATACGTCACAGTCTGTCTGTGATGA